ACTTTTATTTGGAGGGGAAGATTAGTAATGATTAAAAAGTCACCAGCCTGTTACTGATCTCGTGTGCTGAATTCCTAGTAGCACTTATTTTCTGCTTCCATCTGGTCTAAAGGTGGTGCTTAAGGCACGTTGCTCTTAGCAACCGTCTTGAGGAATGCTTGTTTCTTTGGACATGGCTAAGTGAGTCCGTATATCATTGCCAGGTTGATTTTGCATTCAGTCTGCTCTATAATCATGGCTGTGAAATTAGCACCGGAGCTGTGTGATGTAGCGCAGTCCAGTTTGGGCAAACCAGGATTCGTGACTGGTGCCAAGGGTTGGACCTTTGAATTATTTTCAAGTGTAGCTGTTGTGTGTAAACAAGCATCTTCCTGGCCATATTACAACCAAGAGGTGAGCTTTCCTCCTTTTCCATCCTCTCTGAATTGGTAATCCAGAGTACCTACAGAGCTACCCTGCCGAGCAGTGTCTGGGAGAGACTTGAACAATAAATGATCCTGAGACTGCAGGTGGTACAGTGAGACTCTGCCACCCTGAGTAACCATGGTCCCACATGCACTCATTTTTCTAGGCTAACTTCCGCACTGCCCTCGGGTCACACAGTCAGGTAACAGGGTACACTCACTCCATTGTTTGTAGCAGCAAAGACTGAGTCTGCTTCTAAAGCACAGAATGATTTTTCTGGTCTTTAAATTGTTACCAACCCAACTGTAAGGCTTTGAAGCAGGGAGTGGTTGTTTAGCTTATCTTACTATGAAAAATCTTAGAAGCAGGAAAGCTGGAGGAAGACTTCCCCCTTGCTCAGCTGGGCCTGTTGCACATTGCCTCTTTAAAGAGTCTGGACTGAGCCTGGTCCAGGTGTGCAGTGACTCTGTGACTATGAAAGATGTCCAGCTCCTTCCCCAGGGGTGACAGCTCCGTGCAGGGTATGTTGGGAAGGAGGGAGGATCTTTGTTTATTTCTTGAGAGGAGAATATCCCTCCGCCCCTATCTCCTCTGAGTGTCCTTGAGACCAAGGGCTGGGATGCCCATCTCTGGCCGTGGATTACTCCCCAAGCAGCGAAAGCTGAGGAGTTCCCTGCAGAAGGCAGCCTGCCAGCCCCCGCTCTTCTTCCTCAGCCAGCAGTGCTATGGCAACAGGGAAGATCTTGGAGCCTGCCAGAGCCCCATCCCACTCATTCCTCCTGTGCAAATTAACCACCGTGGATTCACATTGTCCTTCCCACGGCTTCTGTAATTGTTGGGACTAGCCAGCATCTCCTTTCTCTCTCTCAAGGTATCTTTTAGCAACCACATAGGGAGCTGTAGCCACCTGGGATGGCGCGGGTTGCTTCTGCCCATGCTTCATGAAGCAGGCACTGGGAGAGGTTGTGCAGTGTCTCCATTCGCACCCAGCCCCGTGTCTGTTGCTGCCAGAGTGGGACAGCCAGGTGTGCAGACATCTCGTCAGCCTCACCAAAGTGATACTCTGCTTCATGTGGTGTGCGAGCAGCTTCCCTCTGCTGCTCCTGAATGGCTTCCCACAGGCAAGCCCTGGAAAAGCAGAAGGCTTGTGCCCACCATAGCCGAGGGTTTCTAACGGGAGCTATAACAATTGCTCAGTTAAACTTAAACCCGAGCCAGTGCTGTGCATATCAGGCCAGGTCCCAGCCTAGCAAAGGAGGATAGCAGCCTGGCGAATGAGAGATATTAGTCTCTCCTTTGCTAAGTGTGATTGAAGCCTTTTCCTTATTACTTGGCACCGTTAGAAAAGCCCAAATCTGTGACCGTCGGCGGATCCCCTCCATTATCGGGGACTGCTTTTCACAGTTCTCTTATTCCGTGCCTCTGTGCTGTGGAGGAACAGACCCAGGACAGCAGCTCCCAAGAAACACCAAGTAGTGGAGCCGAGCTGGGCCGAGTCGCTCCCGAGCCCCATTGTCGCCGGGTCCCGCAAGCCCCCTCGCTCCTGCCTTTCCCCCCCTCGGGGCACGCCGGCACTCGTACGGCTGAATGAGCGAGCCATTAAGAGCTGTTAACTACCAGTAACTCTCCACCTGAGTTCACGCAAACCCATTTCTTCTCGCCCAAGGCAGTAAGAGGCCGGGCTGCTTAAAACCCCTCTTTTCTTCCCTGTTCCTATGCGGTGCTCTTTGAACTCCACAGTACTCTAAAGGGTTCCTCTTTATTTAAATTACCCCTTTCGGGCCTTGTCTCTGCTACTGAGAGCAACACGGAACAGAACCCTGCTCGTCTTTCCTACGGCAAAGGTTGGTGAGCGGGACGGGAAAGCGGTTTGGCCCTAATTCCCTCTCAAGTTACTCAGGTGAAAATGTGTGAAAGATCAAGGATCTTCCTCAGGGAGCTCACAGACCCGATAAGGAGGATATAAAGAAAATTAAAGGTCTATAGTCTAACCTCTCTGCTAGTTTGGTGTTGCAGGTGTCTGCGGTGAAAGCTAGCTTCAGGCGGATGGGAATGGGGCGTAGGTGTTGTGGGATGGAATGCATCTTGAAAAAGAAGGGCGGGAGGCAGAGTTTAAAAGCAAAAGAAAGCTAAGACAAAAGAGGTGAAATACTTTTCAAGGAAAGATGGTGTTGTACTCTTCCAGGAATAATTTCCTACTACTGATTTTTTTTTTTTTTTTTAATTTTTTTTTTTACTAGAGAAAAGGAAAAACAAAACTAACACATCAAAGCATTGCAAAGACTAGCATATTCCCACTGCCCTTCGTGAAGCAAAATAATAAGAATAGTTGCAAAATAGAGCTATGTATGGTCGATAGCGTAATCTGTGAGTCTGAATAGAAAAAAACAAAAACAAACAAACAAACAAAAAAACTGGGCTCCACTGTGGGATCTCAGAGAAGGGAATTACTCTGCACTGGAGAATTCTGTCGTGAAAGTGCAGTACAGGTTTTATCTGCCGTACTACTTAAATGAGCCCTCTTTGCTCAAAAGGATTGAGTTTATCTACACAGGAATGTTTTTACAATGGGGCTCGGCAAAACCAGCCAGGAGGCTGCATCATCGCGTTAGCTGCCTGTGCAGTTGTCAGTGGGGGACGGCCCATACGTTTCTGTGATTTAAGTGACCGTTCTTATCAGATGGTTGTTAGATACAGCAGAGACATGGAAGAGCAGGGAGAACTAGCTCTGTACAAAAGGCTTTGCAACCAGAGTTTAGATGAGAAATGCCCGCTGATTGAGCTGGAGTTTTACTGGAACCTCGATGTGCACCATCTTTCTTTTGCATTTTACGCTGGCACTTTTTTTACTGGAAGGACATAAGCTTTCTGCGTATGTTTAAATGGCAGAACGTACAGAGCTGGCTTTGATCAGATCGAGAGTGTGATCAAAATCTTCAAAGCAAACACTTGTAGTAGCCCTTAGAGGTCTGTGTGTTGGTAATTCCAATATATAGAGCCAATGAAAATTTTACTGCCAAGGACAAGAAGCTTTAAATACACGTTAACATCCACACAGAGAGGAGTTCAAAATCGGTCTTACAAACAGCAACAGAAATCTTTGAAAGAGGAATAAGGTTAAGAGCCTCGGGAAGGCAGCAAGAAGGTGAGAAGCACTGTTATTGACTGCTCTAGATTAAACGGCACAGAGGAAGATTTCAATTTGATAACGTCACAGCCCTTCCTGTTTTTCTTTGCTACTTCTGCTGACAATTTGGTAAGGTAATTAAATTGGCTGATTGAAGTCGCAGTGGTCATGGAGCGATAAAGACCATTTGGATTTAATGGAAT